TGTTGAGTTTGCGGTGTCTCTCTCTCTCTCTCCTTGGTGGTGTGGATTTTTCTCTGGTCCCCCCCCCCCTCCACATTTAGAATCATCGTCCCTTTTGAGTACTTGGCTGCTATAAATTTCCACGCAATGATGAGCCACTTCGTTGAGCTCTCATGTGTGATCACCAGCTCGCTTCTGAAAAGAGCTCACAGCTCAGTGGGGCCTTACCTGCTAAAATAAAAAGTTTCGTTTAATAGAGATGGATTGTTGTTGGGGTGGGATGGGGGGGTTTAGCGTTGTGCATTGTTTGTCAAATAATAAGTATAACCCGTAAAAACAAAGTTTTTCACTATAAATCCTTTATATGCGTGGCGGCTAGAGTCCTCTCGTCCTCTGGCTTGAGATGGCTGCCACCTATGGGTCAGATGATTGTCTGCCAGTATTAAGCAATTGGTAATTAAATATTTTATTTGTTTTCCCTAAACAGTGTAAAATTTTGGGAAAAAAATTTCACGAACATTAATTGTCTCGCACAGCGAGTCTGTGTGCAAAATGTCAGCTCGATTGGATCACGGGAAGTAGGTTAAAAAACGACCGAAAGATTTGCACGGTCGTAAGCAAGCACGCAAGCACGCAAGCAAGCAAGCACGCAAGTGAACTTAATATAAAGGATTTAAAGAGAGTTTAGTTTGTTTCAGAGAACCCGCTTATTGGAGAGCGGCGCCCGGAAAATCCCTCGGAGCAGGATAATAAAACGCGCTCTCGCATCACGTGCGGGGACCATCGCGAGACGTGGAATCGGCACGGAGCTCTCTCTGCGAGCGGCCCAACCCCCCCCCCCCCCCCCCCCCCCGCTGCCCCCCACCCCTCTCCGGGTTAGAGAAGGGGCCCGCGGAAGCGGACGTTGCAGAGCGACCTCCTGCGATGCCTTCGAGTGACCGCACGCAGGGGAGGGCGGCACTGGCCCACTTGCCGTGCCGCACAGCGGCGTTTTGAGGCTCGTCAGAGGCGGGCGCAAGGTTTTTTGTAAATTCTCAGAGCTGGAATTTTTCCAAGAAAACGACGAATGTGAGAGCCAAAGTCGAGCGATTTGTCGGCCGTGCCGCATCTCCTCTTTACAGCCCTCTGAGCCAGTCGTGGAAATGCCACGTTCCTATGGCGGGGGCGAGTCCACCCATAGCACACTAGCTGTTCACTTCCCCCGCACCTCCGATTGGCGCGGTTGGTCACGTACGCTGCAAAAGAATTTCGAACAAGTGGTACAGTACTCATTTTATAGAGTTAACCCCTTGGGTGTGACCTTTACAATTGTTAGCCGCTGGGCCTTACCGCTGAACCACACCAGGCCATGGTAAAAAAAAAATAACCGCTCGTGACCAACATGGGCCTGAGGGTGACGATGATTATCTGGGCTCTCTACTCTTCCTCGTGACCCAGGGCCCCCCCAGGAATAAGAAGAGCGTCGCGGGCCCACGTTACTTCTGAAGGCCGTCTCTGACGCTCGCCCGCCGGGTTACGCTGCCCGCCGCGTCCTTGCCGTCGCCGGTGCCAACATCGGCGCGTTTGGCCGACGCACGCTGCCTCGGTTATCACGGGCGGGCAGGTGCAAACACGCCAGCACGCGCCGGCGCGTTGCGGCGTGCCGACGCACGCGTGCGTGCGGTGGGGGAGCGGCGGTAAGGTGGAAGGCGACGAGGCTGAGAGCGCCGTGCGTGCGACGTGGGGGGATGGTCACGTGGTGTGCGTGCAAGGCACGATGGGAGGTCGCGCCCATGTCGACCACCGGGGGTTTGTTATTGTAATCTAGACCAGGGGTTCCCAACCCCCGGGCCACGGACCGGTAGCGGCCCGTAGCCTATTAGGAACGGGGCCGCACGGCAGCAGGAGGTGAGAGCGGTGGGACCGCGCGTGGCCCCCGACCCCCCATTGTTTTATTGTTCACCACTTCGTGCTTCTCTCCCGCACTGCGCGCTTGTCTCAGTCACGGTGTTGGTGATCTCACAAGCTCTAACCCCGAGCCACGATGAGTAGAAAACAAACGTCGCCGGAGAGCTTCTTTGAAAAGGGGGAAGACCCAATGATGACCCCCCCCCTGGTGCCCACGAGGTTTGGGGCCGCTGCCCTAGACGACGCAGCGGCGGCTCGCGCTGCTCACCCGGCGACGCGAGTTCTTACGCGAGTTCCCAATCGCGACCGCCACCGGCAGTGGGCCTCCCAGCGGGGTCAACTCCACGTCGAACGCCGCCCCCCGTGGCTCTGTCTCCTCACGAGCACGCCGCCCCCCGTGGCTCTGTCTCCACACGAGCACGCCGCCCCCCGTGGCTCTGTCTCCTCACGAGCACGCCGCCCCCCGTGGCTCTGTCTCCTCACGAGCACGCCGCCCCCCGTGGCTCTGTCTCCACACGAGGACGCCGCCCCCCGGGGCTCTGTCTCCTCACGAGCACGCCGCCCCCCGTGGCTCTGTCTCCTCACGAGCACGCCGCCCCCCGGGGCTCTGTCTCCTCACGAGCACGCCGCCCCCCGGGGCTCTGTCTCCTCACGAGCACGCCGCCCCCCGGGGCTCTGTCTCCACACGAGCACGCCGCCCCCCGGGGCTCTGTCTCCACACGAGCACGCCGCCCCCCGGGGCTCTGTCTCCACACGAGCACGCCGCCCCCCGGGGCTCTGTCTCCTCACGAGCACGCCGCCCCCCGTGGCTCTGTCTCCACACGAGCACGCCGCCCCCCGGGGCTCTGTCTCCTCACGAGCATGCCGCCCCCCGTGGCTCTGTCTCCTCACGAGCACGCCGCCCCCCGGGGCTCTGTCTCCTCACGAGCACGCCGCCCCCCGTGGCTCTGTCTCCTCACGAGCACGCCGCCCCCCGTGGCTCTGTCTCCACACGAGGACGCCGCCCCCCGTGGCTCTGTCTCCTCACGAGCACGCCGCCCCCCGTGGCTCTGTCTCCACACGAGGACGCCGCCCCCCGGGGCTCTGTCTCCTCACGAGCACGCCGCCCCCCGTGGCTCTGTCTCCTCACGAGGACGCCGCCCCCCGTGGCTCTGTCTCCTCACGAGCACGCCGCCCCCCGTGGCTCTGTCTCCACACGAGGACGCCGCCCCCCGGGGCTCTGTCTCCTCACGAGCACGCCGCCCCCCGTGGCTCTGTCTCCTCACGAGGACGCCGCCCCCCGTGGCTCTGTCTCCACACGAGCACGCCGCCCCCCGTGGCTCTGTCTCCACACGAGGACGCCGCCCCCCGGGGCTCTGTCTCCTCACGAGCACGCCGCCCCCCGTGGCTCTGTCTCCTCACGAGGACGCCGCCCCCCGGGGCTCTGTCTTCTCACGAGCACGCCGCCCCCCGTGGCTCTGTCTCCACACGAGGACGCCGCCCCCCGTGGCTCTGTCTCCACACGAGCACGCCGCCCCCCGTGGCTCTGTCTCCTCACGAGCACGCCGCCCCCCGTGGCTCTGTCTCCTCACGAGCACGCCGCCCCCCGGGGCTCTGTCTCCTCACGAGGACGCCGCCCCCCGTGGCTCTGTCTCCTCACGAGCACGCCGCCCCCCGTGGCTCTGTCTCCTCACGAGCACGCCGCCCCCCGTGGCTCTGTCTCCACACGAGGACGCCGCCCCCCGTGGCTCTGTCTCCTCACGAGCACGCCGCCCCCCGGGGCTCTGTCTCCTCACGAGCACGCCGCCCCCCGTGGCTCTGTCTCCTCACGAGCACGCCGCCCCCCGGGGCTCTGTCTCCACACGAGCACGCCGCCCCCCGTGGCTCTGTCTCCTCACGAGCACGCCGCCCCCCGGGGCTCTGTCTCCTCACGAGCACGCCGCCCCCCTGGGCTCTGTCTCCTCACGAGCACGCCGCCCCCCGTGGCTCTGTCTCCACACGAGGACGCCGCCCCCCGTGGCTCTGTCTCCTCACGAGGACGCCGCCCCCCGTGGCTCTGTCTCCACACGAGGACGCCGCCCCCCGTGGCTCTGTCTCCTCACGAGCACGCCGCCCCCCGGGGCTCTGTCTCCTCACGAGGACGCCGCCCCCCGGGGCTCTGTCTCCTCACGAGCACGCCGCCCCCCGGGGCTCTGTCTCCACACGAGCACGCCGCCCCCCGGGGCTCTGTCTCCTCACGAGCACGCCGCCCCCCGGGGCTCTGTCTCCTCACGAGCACGCCGCCCCCCGTGGCTCTGTCTCCTCACGAGCACGCCGCCCCCCGGGGCTCTGTCTCCTCACGAGGACGCCGCGTGCCGGCCGGGGCGTGGGGTCGGCCACACCGCCGCTCCCAGGCGTGCGCCGTGCCGGCCTTGATGGGCGCTCGCAGAACGCCGCTCGCCCCAACGGCCTGTCGGACGTGTGCGGGCACGCGCTGACGTCACCGTTCTTAGTGATTTCCTGATGTCACTATGCTTATTGACTTGCTGACGTCACGATTCTTATCGATTTGTTTACGTCACGATTCTTATTGATTTCCTCATGTCACTATGCTTATTGATTTGCTGACATCACGATTCTTATCGATTTGCTAACGTGAAGATTCTTTGCCATTTGCTGACAGCAAAATTATTATTGATTCACTGACGACACAATCGTCGTTTCGTGGTGTTACAATCATTATCGAATTGCTGACGTCACGATCATTATCGATTTACTAATGTCACAATAAGTATCGATTCGCGGACGTCACGATCATCGATTCACTGATAACACGATTATTATGGATATGGCCGATAGAACAAATGAGATTACAAACGGGAAACAAACAACACAAACGTGGGCGTGTGTGCGTCTGTGTGTGTGTTTGTGTGAACCCGGCGATCTGGTTTCGATTCCCGCTCACGGCCAACACCAGTGACGATTATCTGAACCGGTCCTCGGCCTCCCCTAGGTCGACTCAGCCTCAGAACCTGGTGCAGTGTGTAAACATCGCCACTGGGGAGACAAAGGCGGTCGGGCGTGGTGCTGGCCACCCACCCCCTCGCGAACAGCCCTTGCCCCAGCAGTCTGTCAAGGCTATATGGGGGATCTTTGTCTTTGTTTGCGCGTCACAGTGCGGAGAGGGCGTCGCGCGCTCTGCTGGCCGACCCCTGCTTCCAGCTGCGCTGCGTCCAGTACCTGCTGGGGGAGACGACGCACGAGCCGGAGCGCCCACGGGGGGCAGCCACGCCCGACAAGCGCTTCTCCCTGCGCAGCTGTGGGTGGCCGCACCACCGCACCACCGCACCATCGCACCACCGCACCACCGCACCATCGCACCATCGCACCACCTCGCGGCACCGTGGCCCAGCACGACGGCACCGACTATGGCACCGCACTACCGCACTGCTCTGTGGGACACCGCGCTATGACATTGCACTGCCGCACCGCACTACGGCACCACACTAGCGCACCGCACTACCGCGGCGCTCTGCCGGAACGCCGGACAGCACCGCACCCCGCGGCTCTGTGGAACACCGCGCCGCGTTGGCACCGCACCGCGTCACGCCGCGCCGCGGTTGCGTTAGGACCGCCGCCGTGAGAACCGGCGTTGTTGTTTGTGCGGGGTCGGTGGGACCGTGGGGTACGTGAGACCCCCGTCGGGACCGCGCAACAACGAACCGCACAACAACAAACCGCACAACGCTCCCCTCGCCCCCCCACAGACGTGGACTTCGTTAGCGCCGAGGAGGTGGAGAAGGTGACGAAGATGATCGCTCGGCTCAGCGACGAGACCAAGCAAGCTGCCGCCGCTGCCATGGTAACCGCAACTTCCTGTTTCTCCCGAGCACGGTACGGCGGCCGGTGGTGTCGGTTGGTGGTGGTGGTGACGATCGTGGTGGCGGCAGTGGTATGGTGGTAATTGCGGTGGCGGTGGTGGTGATTACGATGATGGTTCGACATGGCAGGATTCACAATCATCGTCGATTTGCTGACGTCATGATCATTATAAATTTTCTGATGTCACGATCATCATCGATTCGCTTACGTCACGATCGTCATCGATTCGCTGACATCACGATCATTTTCAATTCGCTAACATCACGATCATTATCGATTTTCTGACGTCACGATCATCGGCGATTCGCTGACGTCACGATCATTATCGATTTTCTGACGTCACGATCATCGTCAATTCGCTGACGTCTCGATCATTATCGATTTTCTGACGTCACGATCATCGTCGATTCGCTGACGTCACGATCATTATCGATTTTCTGACGTCACGATCATCGTCGATTCGATGACGTCGCGACCGTCGCGGAGACGGCCGATAGAACCAATGAGACTCGCAGACGGGGAGACGACTCAAACGGGGCGGCAACAACGGGACGGGATGGAATCCGCGGCGCCGCTCTCGGCGCTGGCGCCGGCGCTGACCGCCGGTGGCGTTGTCGCCGCAGCCCACGGACGAGGAGGACCTGTGCCCCATCTGCTACGCCCACCCCATCTCCGCCCTCTTCCAGCCGTGCACCCACAAGTCCTGCATGTGAGTGTCCTCCCGCCCCACCCAATACACCCCCCCCCACACACCACCCCACACATCTCCCCACACACCCCCCCACACACCCCACACACCCACACCCCACACACCCACACCCCACACACCCACACCCCACACACCCACACCCCACACACCTCCCCCACACACCCGCACCCACACACCCAGCTACACACCCAGCCACACACCCCCCCACACACCCCACACCCCCCACCCACCCCACACACCCCCACCGCTGGGAGCCGGGGGAGGGAACGAACAGTGACAACTCGGCACTCTCACTCAGAACACCGTGGCCTTCAGAGGAGAAACAAGATGTAGCAGGCGACGTTTCGGCCAACGACCCTTCTCCAGAGCGCACACGCGGATAAATCCGGAGGCGTGGAGTCGAACGACATTTACAGACCGCACACGGACACCGTACGCTGTACAACCACGCGGCGCTCGTAGAAGCGACGGGGATAGCGATGACACGGTTTTCCAGATGGACAGAATTACATCGGCATGCGAACAGTTGACCCCCGAGTAGATATTGAGTAACAGACAAGCTCGCACTGTGGAAAGTGAAAACATAATGACACGTAAGGCGACACGCGCGTTGGCGACACGCGCTTTAGTGACACGTGCGTTAGTGACACGTGCGTTAGTGACACGTGCGTTAGTGACACGTGCTTTAGTGACACGCGCGTTGGCGACACGCGTTAGTGACACGTGCGTTAGTGACACGTGCGTTAGTGACACGTGCTTTGGTGACACGCGCTTTAGTGACACGCGCTTTGGTGACACGTGCGTTAGTGACACGCACGTTAGTGACACGTGCTTTGGTGACACGCGCGTTAGTGACACGCGCTTTAGTGACACGTGCTTTAGTGACACGCGCGTTAGTGACACGCACGTTAGTGACACGTGCGTTAGTGACACGCACGTTAGTGACACGTGCTTTAGTGACACGCACGTTAGTGACACGTGCTTTAGTGACACGCGCTTTAGTGACACGCGCGTTAGTGACACGCGCGTTAGTGACACGCGCTTTGGTGACACGCGCGTTAGTGACACACGCGTTAGTGACACGTGCTTTAGTGACACGCGCGTTAGTGACACGCGCTTTAGTGACACGTGCGTTAGTGACACGCGCTTTGGTGACACGCACGTTAGTGACACGCGCTTTAGTGACACGTGCTTTAGTGACACGCGCTTTAGTGACGCGCTTCAGTGACACGCACGTTGGTGACACGCGCGTTAGTGACACGCGCGTTAGTGACACGCGCTTTGGTGACGCGCGTTAGTGACACGCGCTTTAGTGACACGTGCTTTAGTGACACGCGCTTTAGTGACACGCGCGTTAGTGACACGCGCGTTAGTGACACGCGCTTTGGTGACACGCACGTTAGTGACACGCGCGTTAGTGACACGCGCTTTGGTGACACGCGCGTTAGTGACACGCGCTTTAGTGACACGCGCTTTAGTGACACGCGCGTTAGTGACACGCGCTTCAGTGACACGCGCTTCAGTGACACGCACGTTAGTGACACGCGCGTTAGTGACACGCGCTTTGGTGACACGCGCTTTAGTGACACGCGCTTTAGTGACACGCGCTTTAGTGACACGCGCTTTAGTGACACGCGCGTTAGTGACACGCGCGTTAGTGACACGCGCGTTAGTGACACGCGCTTTGGTGACACGCGCTTTGGTGACACGCGCGTTAGTGACACGTGCTTTAGTGACACGCGCGTTAGTGACACGCGCGTTAGTGACACGCGCTTTGGTGACACGCGCTTTGGTGACACGCGCTTTAGTGACACGCGCTTTAGTGACACGCGCGTTAGTGACACGCGCGTTAGTGACACGCGCTTTGGTGACACGCGCGTTGGTGACACGCGCGTTGGTGACACGTGCGGTTTGTTGACCGACGTCCCGAGATCCGGGCCTGAGCACCGCGTGGCCCCCGGTGGCGTGCCACGGCTCGGCATCGGCCGGGAAGCCGGGAATCCCGTGCGGGCGGGGGGGGGGGGGCTAGTGGATGGCGAGCGCGTAGCGAGACCCGCGCGTTTGGAGAGGGGCGAGAGTTGGTGGATCACACGGATCTCTGAAACGGATGGGCTCTTGACGTGGCCATCGGATGTCAGTACAAAAAGTGGGTTCGCGTGCAGTGCATCGAGCATCCCCCCCCCGCCCCCCCGGGTTCTCCGGCTCCCTTCGTGACGCAGGATCCCAGTGAAGTCTTGAGGCTCGGCGTGAAGGAACGTCACGGGACTTTGTTCCTGTGACTGTGAATGACGTCGCTTGTCCACTCGCTCGCCAACTTGCTCACCAACTTGCTCGCCAACTTGATCGCCCATTCGCTCACCAACTCGCTCGCCCACTTGCTCGCCCACTCGCTCGCCAACTCGCTCGCCCACTCGCTCGCCCACTCGCTCACCAACTCGCTCGCCCACTCGCTCGCCAACTTGGTCGCCCTCTCGCTCGCCAACTCGTTCGCCTGACCCTTCTCAAATGCGTTAATCATTCGCATGTTTGCAGCTTGGCCACGGTGCCAGGCACACAGCACGCGCCAACCACCTTGACAGGGACATCGCACACCATCAAGGAAGCCCCCCCACCTGAACCCCCGTGGCACCACGCAGGCTCGCACACACGCGAGGCCCCGAACTAAATTCTTGCGGAGCCAAATTTAATTTCAAAGCGATGGGTTCCATTGGGCGACGGCTGCGGCGATGGTTAAGTTACGGTGGAAAGGCCGCGCGGGAGCCAGGAACGGCCGGGCACGTGGTCGCCATCCCGTGCCACCCTTTGGTGACGCACAAACAGATGCGTCGTACGTGCGGCCGCTCCCCCCTCCCCACCGCCGGCTGTCGCGTGCGTCGTCCCTCGCGTCGCCCAGGGCCGCGGCAGAGACAGGCGACCGCCGGTTTGCCGTGCGGTCGACCGCGTGCCTCCGTGTTCGAGCTCTGCGGGTTGCGTTGCGTTCGCACCGAGCGCCCCCTTGCTCTCCCACGGGCCCACGGGGGACGGGGGATGGGGAGGAGGAAACTTTGGAAGTAAATGAGAGCAAAGGGAACCGGAGAGGACACGTTTCCCTGCCGTGAGCCACGAGCAGACGCCTGGGAAGCTGTCGATGGACACCGGTGGCTCGGGGGGGGGGGGAGTGGTGGGGGGGAGTGGTGGGGGTGGGGGGGAGTGGTGGGGGGGAGTGGTGGGGGGGAGTGGTGGGGGGGAGTGGTGGGGGGAGTGGTGGGGGGAGTGGTGGGGGGGAGTGGTGGGGGGGAGTGGTGGGGGGGAGTGGTGGGGGGGAGTGGTGGGGGGGAGTGGTGGGGGGGGAGTGGTGGGGGGGAGTGGTGGGGGGGAAGTGGTGGGGGGAGTGGTGGGGGGGAGTGGTGGGGGGGAGTGGTGGGGGGGAGTGAGTGGTGGGGGGAGTGGTGGGGGGGAGTGGTGGGGGGGAGTGGTGGGGGGAGTGGTGGGGGGGAGTGGTGGGGGGGAGTGGTGGGGGGGAGTGGTGTGGGGGGAGTGGTGGGGGGGAGTGGTGGGGGGGAGGGTGGGGGAGTAGTTGATGCTCTAGTTTGACTGCTCTAGTGACTGCTCTAGTTGACTGCTCTAGTTGACTGCTCTAGTTGACTGCTCTAGTTGACTGCTCTAGTTGACTGCTCTAGTTGACTGCTCTAGTTGACTGCTCTAGTTGACTGCTCTAGTTGACTGCTCTAGTGGACTGCTCTAGTTGACTGCTCTAGTTGACTGCTCTAGTTGACTGCTCTAGTTGACTGCTCTAGTTGACTGCTCTAGTTGACTGCTCTAGTTGACTGCTCTAGTTGACTGCTCTAGTTAGTTGACTGCTCTAGTTGACTGCTCTAGTTGACTGCTCTAGTTGACTGCTCTAGTTGACTGCTCTAGTTGACTGCTCTAGTTGACTGCTCTAGTTGACTGCTCTAGTTGACTGCTCTAGTTGACTGCTCTAGTTGACTGCTCTAGTTGACTGCTCTAGTTGACTGCTCTAGTTGACTGCTCTAGTTGACTGCTCTAGTTGACTGCTCTAGTTGACTGCTCTAGTTGACTGCTCTAGTTGACTGCTCTAGTTGACTGCTCTAGTTGACTGCTCTAGTTGACTGCTCTAGTTGACTGCTCTAGTTGACTGCTCTAGTTGACTGCTCTAGTTGACTGCTCTAGTTGACTGCTCTAGTTGACTGCTCTAGTTGACTGCTCTAGTTGACCTGCTCTAGTTGACTGCTCTAGTTGACTGCTCTAGTTGACTGCTCTAGTTGACTGCTCTAGTTGACTGCTCTAGTTGACTGCTCTAGTTGACTGCTCTAGTTGACTGCTCTAGTTGACTGCTCTAGTTGACTGCTCTAGTTGACTGCTCTAGTTGACTGCTCTAGTTGACTGCTCTAGTTGACTGCTCTAGTTGACTGCTCTAGTTGACTGCTCTAGTTGACTGCTCTAGTTGACTGCTCTAGTTGACTGCTCTAGTTGACTGCTCTAGTTGACTGCTCTAGTTGACTGCTCTAGTTGACTGCTCTAGTTGACTGCTCTAGTTGACTGCTCTAGTTGACTGCTCTAGTTGACTGCTCTAGTTGACTGCTCTAGTTGACTGCTCTAGTTGACTGCTCTAGTTGACTGCTCTAGTTGACTGCTCTAGTTGACTGCTCTAGTTGACTGCTCTAGTTGACTGCTCTAGTTGACTGCTCTAGTTGACTGCTCTAGTTGACTGCTCTAGTTGACTGCTCTAGTTGACTGCTCTAGTTGACTGCTCTAGTTGACTGCTCTAGTTGACTGCTCTAGTTGACTGCTCTAGTTGACTGCTCTAGTTGACTGCTCTAGTTGACTGCTCTAGTTGACTGCTCTAGTTGACTGCTCTAGTTGACGCTCTAGTTGACTGCTCTAGTTGACTGCTCTAGTTGACTGCTCTATTTGACTGCTCTAGTTGACTGCTCTAGTTGACTGCTCTAGTTGACTGCTCTAGTTGACTGCTCTAGTTGACTGCTCTAGTTGACTGCTCTAGTTGACTGCTCTAGTTGACTGCTCTAGTTGACTGCTCTAGTTGACTGCTCTAGTTGACTGCTCTAGTTGACTGCTCTAGTTGACTGCTCTAGTTGACTGCTCTAGTTGACTGCTCTAGTTGACTGCTCTAGTTGACTGCTCTAGTTGACTGCTCTAGTTGACTGCTCTAGTTGACTGCTCTAGTTGACTGCTCTAGTTGACTGCTCTAGTTGACTGCTCTAGTTGACTGCTCTAGTTGACTGCTCTAGTTGGACTGCTCTAGTTGACTGCTCTAGTTGACTGCTCTAGTTGACTGCTCTAGTTGACTGCTCTAGTTGACTGCTCTAGTTGACTGCTCTAGTTGACTGCTCTAGTTGACTGCTCTAGTGCCTGCTAGTTGACTGCTCTAGTTGACTGCTCTAGTTGACTGCTCTAGTTGACTGCTCTAGTTGACTGCTTCTAGTTGACTGCTCTAGTTGACTGCTCTAGTTGACTGCTCTAGTTGACTGCTCTAGTTGACTGCTCTAGTTGACTGCTCTAGTTGACTGCTCTAGTTGACTGCTCTAGTTGACTGCTCTAGTTGACTGCTCTAGTTGACTGCTCTAGTTGACTGCTCTAGTTGACTGCTCTAGTTGACTGCTCTAGTTGACTGCTCTAGTTGACTACTAGTTGACTGTTCTAGTTGACTGTTCTAGTTGACTGTTCTAGTTGACTACTAGTTGACTGTTCTTGTTGACTGTTCTAGTTGACTGCTAGTTGACTGTTCTAGTTGACTGTTCTAGTTGACTGCTAGTTGACTGCTAGTTGACTGTTAGTTGACTGTTCTAGTTGACTGTTCTAGTTGACTGTTCTAGTTGACTGTTCTAGTTGACTGCTAGTTGACTGTTCTAGTTGACTGCTAGTTGACTGCTAGTTGACTGCTAGTTGACTGTGCTAGTTGACTGTTCTAGTTGACTGTTCTAGTTGACTGTTCTAGTTGACTGTTCTAGTTGACTGTTCGTTGACTGTGCTAGTTGACTGTTCTAGTTGACTGTTCTAGTTGACTGTTCTAGTTGACTGTTCTAGTTGACTGTTCTAGTTGACTGTTCTAGTTGACTGTTCTAGTTGACTGTTCTAGTTGACTGTTCTAGTTGACTGTTCTAGTTGACTGTTCTAGTTGACTGTTCTAGTTGACTACTAGTTGACTGTTCTAGTTGACTGTGCTAGTTGACTGTGATAGTTGACTGTTCTAGTTGACTGCTAGTTGACTGCTAGTTGACTGTTCTATTTGATTGTTCTAGTTGATTGTTCTAGTTGACTGTTCTAGTTGACTGTTCTAGTTGACTCTGCTAGTTGACTGTTCTAGTTGACTGCTAGTTGACTGCTAGTTGACTGTTCTAGTTGACTGCTAGTTGACTGTTCTAGTTGACTGTTCTAGTTGACTGTTAGTTGACTGTTAGTTGACTGTTCTAGTTGATTGTTCTAGTTGACTGTTCTAGTTGACTGTTCTAGTTGATTGTTCTAGTTGACTGTTCTAGTTGACTGTTCTAGTTGACTGTTAGTTGACTGCTAGTTGACTGTTCTAGTTGATTGTTCTAGTTGACTGTTCTAGTTGATTGTTCTAGTTGACTGTTCTAGTTGACTGTTCTAGTTTACTGTTCTAGTTGACTGCTAGTTGACTGTTCTAGTTGACTGTTCTAGTTGACTGTTCTAGTTGACTGCTAGTTTACTGTTCTAGTTGACTGTTCTAGTTGACTGCTAGTTGACTGTTCTAGTTGACTGCTAGTTGACTGTTCTAGTTGACTGCTAGTTGACTGCTAGTTGACCGTTCTAGTTGATTGTTCTAGTTGACTGTTCTAGTTGACTGTTCTAGTTGACTGCTAGTTGACTGTTCTAGTTGACTGCTAGTTGACTGCTATTTGACTGCTAGTTGACTGTGCTAGTTGACTGTTCTAGTTGACTGTTAGTTGACTGTTCTAGTTGACTGCTAGTTGACTGCTAGTTGACTGTTCTAGTTGACTGCTAGTTGACTGTTCTAGTTGACTGTTCTAGTTGACTGCTAGTTGACTGTTCTAGTTGACTGTTCTAGTTGACTGTTCTAGTTGACTGCTAGTTGACTGTTCTAGTTGACTGCTAGTTGACTGTTCTAGTTGACTGTTCTAGTTGACTGCTAGTTGACTGCTAGTTGACTGTTCTAGTTGACTGCTAGTTGACTACTAGTTGACTGTTCTAGTTGACTGCTAGTTGACTGTTCTAGTTGACTGCTAGTTGACTGTTCTAGTTGACTGCTAGTTGACTGTTCTAGTTGACTGTTCTAGTTGACTGCTAGTTGACTGTTCTAGTTGACTGTTCTAGTTGACTGCTAGTTGACTGTTCTAGTTGACTGCTAGTTGACTGTTCTAGTTGACTGCTAGTTGACTGTTCTAGTTAACTGTTCTAGTTGACTGTTCTAGTTGACTGCTAGTTGACTGTTCTAGTTGACTGTTCTAGTTGACTGCTAGTTGACTGTTCTAGTTGACTGCTAGTTGACTGTTCTAGTTAACTGTTCTAGTTGACTGTTCTAGTTGACTGCTAGTTGACTGCTAGTTGACTGTTCTAGTTGACTGTTCTAGTTGACTGCTAGTTGACTGTTCTAGTTGACTGCTAGTTGACTGTTCTAGTTGACTGTTCTAGTTGACTGCTAGTTGACTGCTAGTTGACTGTTCTAGTTGACTGTTCTAGTTGACTGCTAGTTGACTCCCGTTGTCCGCGTGTCACGGCGCCGCTGCGTTGGCTGCACTGCCGTGGCGTCCGCGTGGCTCTAAACCCGCCGTGTGCCCCCCCCCCCCCGCCAGGGCGTGCATCCGCCAGCACCTGATGAACAACAAGGAGTGCTTCTTCTGCAAGGCGCCCGTCACCGCCGTGGAGGCCTACACCAAGACCCCCCCCGCCTCCACGCCCACCGGCCCCTAGCTGCTCGCTCACCACGCTCGCTCACCACGCTCGCTCACCACGCTCGCTCACCACGCTCGCTCACCACGCTCGCCATGTTCACTCTCGCTCACCACGCTCGCCACATTCACCTCTGGCAAGCCCACACTCGCCACACTCGCCTGCTCACCCACGCTCACCGAGTGCAGCGCTCACCACAATCACCCGTCACACTCGCTGCCGCCAACTGCAATGCTCACCACGCGCATATCCGCCCACCCTCGCTCACCCTCGTTCACTCATAGCCTCTCTCACACACACACGCACCTTGACACACGCACCTTGACACACGCACACACATGTTTGCCGTGTAAGCGATTCGTCGAGTAGCGCTAACTGTGAAACTCGCGATACATAACTCGCTTCGCTTCACGCGTGCCAACAATCTCATGCATTCATACAAACCCCGCGCAGGCGTTCCGCAGACAGGCGAGTGGGACACACCAATGGGAACGCCCGAGACAAGCGGCACAAACACACAATCGTGTTTGCTTCAATCAAATCCTTGACAGCTCCTCCAACCGGCAACGTGCGTGTGTACGTCACGTGCCTCTACCATATCTACTTGTACAGGGCCTACCAGGAGCATTTAACCCCCCCCCCCCCCGAGCCGCGCTCACAAGAGGGATCGACACGACGGGGCCGGCGTTGTCGTCGCTGGCGAGTATAGGAAGAGGGGGGGGGGCAGCACCCACGTGGCATTGGTCCTGGGCCCCCCGGGCTCACGCACCACGGGGGGCCCGGGGTGGGGGGACGGCTCTTGGGGAGCGCCACTGCCGGAGAGATGGGGGGCGCCGCTCCGACGAGAGCTCCCTCAGGCACGCGAAGCGACTGCGGGGGGGGGGGGGGGGGGGGGGCTGTAGTCCCTTGTCACGTGGGAGGGGGGGGCAGGTCCGTTACCCGGAACGTCCGTTCTTTTTAAAACGTCGCCCGTGTAATCGCGCGCGGCGGTGCCTTTGCGATCGAGTGAATCGGCTTTTAAGATAATAATAATAACGACGATGATGACGACGATAACCGCATGCAGGTGAAGCGCGGCACGACTATAACCACCGCGTGCACCCCCCCTCCCCCCCCCTCGTGCCGCACCAGCGGCCTCGTGGGCGGCTCTCGACAATAAACAGCGACGGTCCCGCTGCTGCCGCCGCCGCCGCCGCTGGTGGTGGTGGTGGTGGTTTTACTCGAAGCGCCCCGTGTCTCCGCGTTCCTTCTTCCACGCGGCGTCCGCGGAGTGCGGTGACCCCCATCCTCCGGCTCCGCAGCTCCCGAGTCTTGGCCGGAGACCCGAGCCCCACGGGGGAGGGGACGTCTCTGCCCGTCTCCGGCGGTGACACCACCGCCGGGTTCGTTCCGTGCCGCTGCCGTGTCGGCGTGACCCCCGTCGCTCGCGGCGTTGGCGGCGGCGTTGCCGAGGCCCTCCTCGCCGTGCACCCGCCTCACCCCGCGGGGAAGGGCGCCGTGGGGGTGCTCCACGCCGCGACATGCCGCTCGCTCGGTGCGCCACCGCCAACGCGCTGTGCCAACGCGGGCCCGATGCCAGCCCGTTCACTCTGTGCCTCCTACCGCGCGTGCCCCTGACCACCGCGTCTACGCCGGTGCGGCCGGCCAGCTCCGACTTTAAGGAACTCTGAGCGCGGGCCACGTGGCCGCGTCATCGATTCATTCCATCGGCGTGCGGCTTTAGCGCCGCAGCAAACGGAGCCACGGCGGGCGGAGTCTCGGCCCTCGCTCGTCGTCTGCCCGCCTGGGTATTCAACCCTCGGCAGGGTCGGCCTCACTCCGGCAGATAGATAGATAGATAGATCGTTTATTGTCATTGTCACCAGTACAACGAAATTTAAAATGCTCACCAGTCAGGGCATCATTCATAAATTTAAATTAAATAAAACAATAAAAATAAAAATAAAATTAAATGAAAGATAATCAATTTATACTATATATAAAAACAGCCCAAGTATACCCACATAAGGTTACATTTTGTCATTGCACATCTCTATTTCACAGTCAATTGTAAACACTATTACTTAATAATTAATTAGCATTATTGAGTGTGGTGATCGCTGTAGGGTAAAAGCTCTGTTTGAATCTGTTTGTCCTTGTTTTGACTGATCTGAATCGTCTGCCTGATGGCAACAGCTCAAACAGTGAGTGTCCAGGGTGAGAAGAGTCCTTTATAATGTTCTGTGCTTTTTTGATGCAACGTGAACTGTGTAGTTCTTCCAGTGTGGGAAGATGGCAGCCGGCGATCTTTTGGGCTGTGTTGATGACCCTCTGGAGCGCTTTCCTCTGAGCCACTGTGCAGCTGGTGTACCATAAACAGATGCAGTATGTAAGAATGCTCTCGATGGAGGCTCGGTAGAAGGACACCAGCAGTTTCTGTGTGATGTTATTATTCCTGAGAATTCTCAGGAAGTAAAGTCTCTGCTGGGCCTTTTTCAGAAGCTCAGTGCTGTTGGCGCTCCAGGTCAGGCCCTCCCCAATGTGGACTCCCAGGAAGCAGAAGTCTGCCACCCTCTCCACACAGTCCCCGCTGATGATTAGTGGTGGAGTGTCCGTTTTCTTTCTCCTGTAGTCTATTATGAGCTCCTTGGTCTTTGCGGTGTTAAGGAGCAGGTTGTTGCCCCTGCAGTATGCTGTCAGCCGCTCCACCTCGTCCCTGTAGGCAGACTCATCCCCCCCAGAGATGAGCCCCACCACTGTGGTGTCATCAGCAAACTTCACAATGGTGTTGCTATGGTGGACGGCGGCACAGTCATGTGTGTAGAGGGAGTAGAGCAGGGGGCTCAGTACACAGCCCTGGGGGGAGCCGGTACTGAGGCTCAGGGCTGTGGATGTATGACGGCCCACTCTGACCCTCTGTCTGCGGCCCGAGAGGAAACTATATATCCACATGCAGGTGGAATGTGGAATCCCCAGGTCGCCCAGTTTTTCCACCAGTTTGTGTGGGAGGATGGTGTTGAACGCGGAACTGTAATCCACGAAGAGCATCCGCACATAGCTCCCCTGCTGCTCCAGGTGTGACAGTGCAGCATGTAGTGCTGTGGCCACCGCGTCCTCCGTGGATCGGTTCGCTCTGTAGGCAAACTGGTGGGGGTCGAGGTTTCGGGGCAAGCTTCCTATGATGTGACTCCGGACCAGTTTTTCAAAGCACTTCATCACCACTGGCGTGAGTGCTACTGGCCGGTAGTCGTTGTAGCTGCAAATGTGGGTTTTTTTGGGCAGCGGGACTATGGTGGAGGACTTTAGGCAGGTTGGTACAGTGGACTGTTCCAGAGACAGGTTGAAAATCCTTGTGAAGACTCCAGCCAGCTCGTCAGCACAGTCCCTCAGCACACGTCCCGGGACGCCATCAGGTTCCGCAGCCTTCCTCGGGTTGACGGCTCGCAGCGTGCGCCTCACCTCATGCTCCTCCACTGTGAGGTTTAAGCTGCTGTGGACCGTGAGGTTTGGTGATGCTGTCCCTTGTGGTGTCACCTCAAAACGGGCAAAGAAGAGGTTCAACTCCTCTGCCAGAGCGTTGTCACCATCAGCAGCTCCGCGGTTGGCCCTGTAGTTGGTGAGGTGCTGGACTCCCTGCCACACCTGCCTGCTGTCGTGACTGTCCAGGCGTTCCTCAATCCTCCTGTAGTCTGCTTTGGCCTTGCGGATGCCTCTCTTCAGGTTAGCTCGGGCTGTACTGTAGAGAGCTTTGTCTCCGGAGTTGAAGGCGATATTCCTCTCCTTCAGCAGTTGCTGGACCTCCCGGGTCATCCAGGGCTTCTGGTTGGGGTAAACCCGAACGCGTTTGTCCACAGTGACAGTGTCTATGCAGTTTTTTAATGTAGCACAATACACTATATGTGAACACCTCCAGGTCCTGATGTTCGAAGACCCCCCAGTCGGTCCTATCAAAGCAGTCCTGCAGCTGCTGGGTGGCACCCTCAGGCCAGATGGCGACAGTTTTTGTGATGGTAGGAGCCGTTTTCTTGATGGGGGCGTATGCAGGGATCAAAAGCAGGGACAAATGGTCAGACTGGCCCAGGTGTGGTAGTGGTCTAGCCCTGTAGCCACGTTTGATGTTGGTGTAGACCTTGTCCAGAATCTTAGTTCCCCTAGTAGCACACAGCCAACTCAGGTGGCCCTTTTGCAAGCCCCAATCACACCCTGCGCCACCACTCCGCACCCTGTTCTCAGCCACCCCGTGGCCCACCCATGTGCACAATAACTGTACTGCAGCTGGTAAGCGGACACGGGCGGGTGAGTGGGTGATTTGGTGTGGGTTGAGTTCGTGGGTGGATGGGTAGAGCGGTGGGATGGTTGAGCGGGTCGACGGGGGTGGGTGGGAGGTCTGTGCCGAGCCACTGGCCCACGGCTCGAGATCGAGCGAGAGACGTCGGCCCCCGCACCCCAGCGGAGTGACGAGGCAACAAAGTTGGGAGCCAAGCCCCAGAGTTTCGGTCTCAGAAACGCGGAAGCGATGTCGCCTGGCACCGAGCTCTGGGCGTGCCTGGGAGGGACACAGGAGGCGGCTCTGTGTGTTTGTGCCGCAGCCCGCGTTGCGCAACGAACATGTACTGCACACAAAGACAAAGGTGCCCCGTGGAGCCTACACGGACCGTTGAGGCAAGTGCCGTCCGCTTGGCTCTCCTCGATTCGCCAAGTAGTTGAATTGCACTCGTTTAAGGCTGAATTGACCTAGAGGAGAGAACCAGGACCGGTTCTGAAAATTGCCAACGAATGATGTTTTTTTTTACGTGGCCAGGAATGGAACTTGGGGTCGCCGGGTTCGTAGTGCACGGTGCGTTAACCGCTGCACCACCGTTCCTCGGTTCGCACGAGCCAGGCGGCCGCCCTGGTTAACAGTGCGGTGGGCCGCGATGGTCGTAACGCCACACGCCGTCTGCTTCGCTCGCGCGGGGCGTTAAAGATCCCGGTGGCTGCCATTGGCAGGAGTCGGTTGGTCGTGCGCCGGTGTTAAGGTCCAGATTTGTAAAGTGACACCGCAGACTACACCATTTTTAATAATTACACAAACAGCAACAGTAGCAATCGTCTTCAACGACTTTACTTGGTAAGGCCCCACTGAGCTGTAGCTCTGTGTCAGGAGCGGCCTGGCGACCACCAATGATCGCTTTCACCGAGTGGCTTCTCGGCATCGCGTGGGAATGTACAGCAGTCGCCAAAACACTCGGAAACGCATGACGTTGATTCTGTAATGTGGAAATTCATAGCAGCCAAATTATCTAAATGGACGATGATTCTAAATGTGGAGGGGGAAACCGGAGGAGCCGGAGACAATCCACGTGGCCACGGGCGGACCCCGACTCCCCCCCCCCCTCAAGGGGGGGGGGAGTCGGGGGGGGGTGAAGTGGCCTCAAGGTGCCATGTGCACCTTGAGGCCACTTCACGTGGCCTCAAGGTGCACATGGCCTGGCACAAGCGTCGTGGTAACGTCACCGCAACTTAGTGGGGAATGGCGGTTGTTGTTGTGTCTGTGTGTGTGCGTGCGTATGTGTGTGCGTGCGTGTCTGTGTGCGTGCGCGTGTGTGCGTGTGTGTGTGTCTGGGCGTATGTGTCTTTGTGTGTGCAGCCCGATGCTCGCTAGCAGCACTTGCCCATACAGTCTGTTAAGGCTACACGGGGATCTTTGTCTTTGCAGCCCGATGGTGGTGGTGACGTTGATTCAAAGGGAGAGAAACACAAACCCCCACAACTCGAGGGGTTTTCTCTTCGGGGTTCCTCGTCGACAATTTGTCACTAAACTGGGTCCGTGCCTCGAGCGTGAGGAGGCGTCACGGTGGCGCGATGTGACCACCTCGCCTGGTGTGCACGTGGGTTCGATCCCTCGACCCACGACGGCTGCTGCTGCTGCTGTGTATTTGGAGTTTGCGGTGTCTCTCTCCACGTGGTCGCGTGGATTTTTCTCTGCCTCCACGTTTAGTATTTTGTCTGCTGCTATGAATGTCGGCGTGATGATGAGACACTTTCCTTGAGCTCATCGTCTGATCGCCAGGTCGCTTCTTAAAAAAAATATCTTCGTAGCTCAGTGGGCCTTAAACTGGTGAAACAAAAACTAGTTTAGTTTTAACAACAACGTAGGACGGAGTAGCCACTCTCACAACAACGAGCGGAGCGCCGGGAGGATAAAACGCAGCGAGGATGGCCGCGCTGAGCGCAGCTGGTGCCTCGCTTCCAGCCAGC